GGGGGGGGGGGGTGCAGGGCATTCCAGGATATCAGGGCTCATGTGGTGGAGCCTTAAAGAAAAGCTCCCGACAGAACCGGGCCGTGTCCTCAGGAGAGTAGACCGTGAAACCGATGGTCCGTGGGTCGTTAAAGATTTCACAGTCGTTTCCTCCCTGAAAACAGCATCATCAAAGATTACAAACCCGTATTAACATTCTTTCAGCCAAAGCTCTCTGATCTTTAACCTCTGACCCTGGGCAAACCAAACACTGAAGTCATGGCCTCATCAAAAGCCATCACTGTAGTCATGTCTCCAGCACCACAGTCAGTCAGCTGATCTTTGGGATGTGTTTGTGGTTGGCTTTGCAGTAAAGACTTTGTGAAGGTAAACCCCAGAATACAATTGAAGATACTTATCGGAATTTCAGGAGCAGGACCACTCCTCAACCGTACTGCTTCCTGCTTATCTAGAAATACCCGCCTAACCCGCTCCTCCTGTTCCGATCTCGTATTCGGTACCCTCCCCGCTTTTTCTCTCCTCCTCTCCTCTACGTAGGGTCCTGGGGGGGTTCGCCGTGCCCGGGTGCTACGGTGTATTCCCTATCAAAGCTCCCCACAACTCATTCAGCTAACCGGACGAGCTACATGAAGCTCAAGCCTCGCATCTCAATCCTTCAATATATCTGTTAAACGCTTCTATTTGATGGTGAGGTCCTTGCTAGTGAATGGAATGTTGAAATTGCGAGATCCCTTATTTAAGAGAAGTCCTAATGCTGCTGATATTGTAGACAGCAGTGTGAATGAGTGCAAATCCCTGCAGCCAGGTTGCTAAATATTTGTGAAAAGAATTCCAAGAAGAGTGGAGGCTGTTATTAGCAGCTGATTCATGCCCATGGAGATATTCAACAATCAGTGTAATGTTTGGTTGTCAACATACTTTCGACCATGCAGTGTATACTATAAAGGATTTAATTAGTAATCAGTGTCAGTATCTGTATCCACATCACTGCACCCAGCCCTCCTGTCATTATTTCCCAGGATGAACTTACGTCTGACGTTTCGTTGCCAAAGAAGTAGATGGCGTCCAGGCCCTCGCTGTCCAGCAGCTCTAAACACAGTCTCTTGTCCCAGCCCTCTGGGAAAACGTCAAAGCTGATGAGACCACCTAAAAACACATGACCAACAGGACTTTGTTATCATCCTTGTCTTGATTAGTTCATCATATGCATTGTAATCCATGAAAAACATCTTTAATGGTACGATGCATTTTAAAGAGGGAAATTAAACATTCTGTTGTCAGTTAACACGCATTTGCCAATTCTTTCAGGAAAGAGCAGACGAAGAAGTGTTCATGTCTGTTTACAACACAATTAGTACGAACCTGTACACTCAATGTGTTGCTTTCCCTTTCGCATTCTTCCACCTATTTACACTCAACAAGTCTGTCTCTGCAGAACAAACGTTGTTTACTGTCTGAGCAGAGGCTGTGACTGATGGAGGCTTTTGGAGCCCCATTGTTCAGCGGGTGCAGACTTGTTTGTTTTAACAGTTGGCAGAGAGCGACACACTGCAGTCAGGAAAAAAAAAAGGATTTGCCACAACTAAACACACACAATGTGTGTCCATCATTGACCGACCATCGCCAAGAATTTTCTATATTCAAGGAATCCAGAGACGACAGTGAGAGGCGTGATTACGGCTGCAGCTCATAGATAAGGTCATAGATTGCGACGTGTGTTTTGCAACATGTCCAGCTCTGGTTCTCACTACAGCGTGCTGTTCATCACATGTTAAAGCTCTATTGTTGCTCAGCTGGGAGTCGATTGACCTTAGAATTGTGAAATGTTGCCAGAAAGTCTCCTCCACAGTTCTACCTAGCACTTCCCTTTCAATCTTCCCTCCCCCCTTAAATACTATTCATTGCCTTGTCTCAGCTTAAGGGTTTTAGGAGTCAACAACAAATGCAACAGCTGAGGAGCATCCAGCCAATCAGAGGGCTGTTTCACTCACCCACCCTCCACACGCCTCCATCCCAAGCACCTTTAACCCCACACACCTCAGTGCTTCAACCACTTCTGGTACAACCCATCCCCCGGCCGGCTGTCAGCTTTTTACATTCTTGAGCAAAGAACAAAGTCGGGCTGCTAAGTTGCTGACAATGCATAGATGTGCCTGTAAACCTTTTCAACCACTAAATCCCCAAAATCTAAATTAATTACACAACTTGCCTTTTTAAAATATTAATTACTCAGCATGTTGGTTAATGTTAGACAAAAATGCACAAAAAGTGAAAAAGTTCCAATGAATATAAAGACAGGACTCTAATAGAACTTTAAGAAGCAATATTTGGAAATTAGTCATTTAAGGAATTTAATATCAAACATTCCTCAAAGGGTTTGCTTCTCTTTAACTACATCATCAACAATCAAAACGGGATACAAGCTTTGATGTCACATTATCAGTGTCCCTTATATTCTGTACTCTCAGTGCAGATTGGATAGAATGTTTATACACCACCTATATAACGTTTATTTTTACAATCTGAAGGCACTTGCAAATGACAAGGTAGTAGAAAATGTAAACCATACTTTGGTGATTAATGTTTAATGTTGCATTTGTTATAAAGGGCAGCCGCGCAGAAGCAGAAAGACACTGAGCAAGGCAAACAACTGAATCTCAAACTCTGTTCAATCGGCGCATTTCCTCTGTGTCAACAAAGTGAACAGTAAAACATCTGCAAATGGCTCTGATGTTACAAAAAACAACAACAACTGGCTCTCTACCTCAGCAACCTGAGTGGGTGAACGATATCATCCATCTGGACAAAGTGAAACCTACTTGAAGAAAAGGATCAGGTGCTGGAAATAATATTTGACAACACTGGGGTTGACAGAATAACAATTAAAAGCCTGTGCTTTGACTAATACTAATAACCAGATCTGATACTGTACAAACACATCCCACCACCTAGACTGATCCCTACTCTTAACCTGTTCATATCTTTTGTCCATTGTATTTATTTTGCATTTGCACCTTATTGTTATCTTTCATATTTGCACGCATCCCATTTTACATTGCAACAGCAGAGCAGCAATTTCACTCAGGACGAATAAAGTTTCATGTTGTTTTATCTTATAAACTTCAGGTAACATGATAGATATATGCTGAACTTTGTAAAGTCAGAAAGCGGACATGACAGAAAGTCACATTTCTCGTTTGTGCTGCGTGCCACGGACCGAGAACTGGAATTGATTTCAGGAGAAACAAGCCTGTCTGTCTCCTTTGTTTGTCTGTATTGTGAACAGCCTTCAGACGTCATCAACTGAGGCTCACACCTCGCAGAGCACGTAAGCAAACATCCATTATCCGATTAACCTTACTGCTGCTGTGTCGCCACAGAGAGACAGGGTGAAACTGTGTGTTTGTGTAATAGTTAACAAAGGGCTCCAGATATGCTGTAAAACTAGTGTGTCATTAAACTACACCGTCATTAGGAAGACAGCAAGATCCTGAAAGACCACGCTCCAAGAATACAAAGAGAGCATGCGAGTTAAAACTATAGTAGATTAGGTCATGTCCAAACATGCTAAACAGATCTGAGCTTTGTTTAAACTCACATAACTGTATTGTAAATTCTAGTGGTAGTCACAGTTTTCAACGCTACCATATAATATATAAGAAATGACTTACAAGACAAGTCAAATTCTCATGGAACATTGTCATCTGTTGTTTTGATCCCCTGTTCAGGAGACATTTGATGGTGATATCAGGGTTCAAAAGGTTTAATACGTGTAGTGTAGTGTGGACATCAGGACTTTAATGAGTGGTGGGGAGTTGGGATGCACTGACATGAAACCGATTCTTACAGGAGTACCTTCCGATACAGAGTACTGACCCGACACTGCCACGCCCCATTTCCTAAATGTAATTTGAGAACTGTCAGAGTTAGAATTAGTGGGTCAAATATTTCAGGATGTTATTTTAGCGAGTGCACATGCTTGTAAACTTGAACACGGTTTCTCTGTCAGTGGGCTTTCGACTCTCTCACCTTTAGTGAACCGTAGTCCCTTTCCAGCAAACTCCTCTTTCAGGGCAGCCACAAATTTCTCCCTGATCTTCTCTCTCTGTGGAGAAAGAGACAAAGCAGTCAGACGTGGCCAACCTTGTTACTGCACACAAGCCGTGTATCTGCATTTAACACACTTATAACTAGTATCTGCTCCGTTCACCAGATGTTAAATGTGTGCAATCTGTCATGCACAGGCCAAGTTGGTTCATTTAATCTGAGTGGACAGGATCCAGCTGGATAAATGTTAGCAGGCAGCTGAAGGGTTAAACCTCGCCTCCTCTGCTGCTATCTGCTTTCTCCATATCGCCTGGCTCTGTGAACCATCAATGGGCAGCCTGTTAAGTGGTCCTGAAACCTCAACATTGTTTGAGCTCTCTCCGTCTGCCTAATTGAGCACATTTCATGGAACCGAGAGACGGAGACGTGCCTAGTCCGTGCCTAGTCCGTGACTCTCAGTGCCTGATGTGTTAAAAATGTACAGCTTGTTTAATTTGGCTACTGTGGATTTTAATTAAGTTACAGTAGGTTTCAATCTCATTGCAAATCAGGTGAATTTGCACTAATGGCAAGTCTTTTACCTTGTCGATTTCAGAGAATTCAATTCGCTCCTCCAGAGAGCAGCTCCGACCAACTGGGGAAATGTTGAGCATTCCATTCCTGAACTCAATAAACGTTCCCCTGCCGGCAAAAAAGGAAATGCTACTTGTTGAGAGGACTTAAGTGAGGCAGAAACCTGGATTGGGTTTAAAATAATACCAAGTGTGTGGCCTGTTTCATAGGGTTGGTCAAAGTCTCACCTTTTCTTTGGCAGCTTGATGAGCCCCATGTAGCTGAGGCAGAAGTTGATCAGGTCCTGCAGCAGCTCCTCTCCGATCTGGTTTTGTATCGCCTATAGGGATGACGCTGCACTTTATTCATAAACACATGACAGGGTGCGCTCTGTCCCATTGTTGCGACAGGTGACTGAAACTGATGACAGTTCTTTTTTGCCCCTAGGACATGGCTTGTCAAGATGCAGGAAAAAGGTCACCTTGGTAGATTCACAGTCGTAAGTGGTTCATTTTCCTTTTTTTCCCTTTCCACTCTTCAGTTATTGTCTACTAAACATAACCAGGCTAAATAATTATAGCACTTGTCTTATTTCTTTGTCTGTAAACATACGTTTCATCACACAAAATGTGAAGCATGTACGTCATACAATCATGTCGTCCTATGTGTTTTCTCAAAATAGATAACGTGTTGAATACTAGGTGATATTGTGACTTAACATGAAAGATGGGACTGAATGTTCACTTACATGCTTCGAGAGGAGTTTCCCATCTTTGTATTGCACTGTCCCGTTCTCAGCAAAGACATAGTCAAACTTTTGTATCACTGCAAGAGAGGAGACAGATGGAACGTTGCTACATGTGCTCATCTGGTTCTTTAAAACACACACACACACACACACTCTCAACTAAATTAACAGTGGCTCTGCCACTAAGGCCTGAATATGAATAAGAATGGAACAGCCTGCTATTTTTACCTGGTAGCAGATTACAGTGTATGTAACACTGCCTGGAAAAGCCAAGTTTAATCTCTCTGACCTTTCACTTTGCTGTAACTGCACCGCAAACAACTCTCTGCAGGAAAAGTCTATAACTTTACCTGAATAAACTGCTTTGATCACTTTACCTTCAATAACACAGCATTCACATGCAAAACAGCATAATCCAGCATAATAACAGCATGCAGAAGATGATTATAAAATAACTGCCGGATTGCGTATGACAATTAACAATCAAATACTCCTCTAACTGGGTTAAAAATGTAATAAAAGTGTTATTGGAGTCATTGTTTTGACTTCACATTATACTGCAGCAACAACAGCATCTGCTGCGAATGTGTGCATCACAAAGTATAAAAAGATTCACCTTTCAGCACAAACCACATGGCTCAATCTTGGCACAACATTTACATTTCTGTTATACCTCAATAATCCTCCTGGATTGCGACACAGATAAAGGAAGAAAAGGGTGATCAGGCTTGTGTTATCATCCTTTTTTTATAGTGGGTCTGTGAGAAGGATGTTGTGTTACTCTTTATATAGCTGCATAATGGCCTAAATAATCCCACATTATTCCCAAGGACCATCCTCTCAGCTCCACTCTCTGTGGACTGGTGTCTAATTAAGCAGAAGTTACACTGAAAAGGGTCAAGTCATGCAGTGTGAGCCAGCTGAGTAAATGATACAGCATGCAGTGAGTAAACCATCTGTGGTTCAGACAGAAAGAGGACTGCTCACCATCATCCCCCTCCCCGAGCTGCTCAGCTATCTTGGAGTAGTCGGACCCTCCCACGATGCCGATCTTCACTTTCCTCCGCAGAGTCTGGAAAAACTCATCCAACTCTGGGTCGATTTTCTGCAGATTACAGGAAAATGCATGGCACATTATAGCTTTGTGTTAACTGGTAGAGCTCCCTCTCAAACACACACACACACACACACACATGCACGAACCATCATTAAAAAGACAAATCTGTGTTATTGAAGCATCATTACATAGAACAGAGAACAATGGACAACGCTGCAGAATTTACCTTTGTGGCCATATAATTTGGCACAGATTTCCAATTATTTCAGCATATGGAAGACAAACTCTCAGCTGCACCGCATTGTGTAACACACACACACACGCACACCAGTCACCTTAAATTAACCCAAACATTCGAACTCAATGGGCCAATGAATGAAAAAAGGCGGAAGCATGGAGCAAAAAACATTACACAATAAATTGGACTGAATAATAGAATAAATACTTTATCCTTTAAACCTTACATAATTTACTAAATCACAAAAACACCAAAAAACTAGGTTTAGGAAAATGGCATTTATGTCAGTTTTCCTTTAGTGAGTCTAAAGTATATTATAGAAAAACCTCTTAAAGCCCACGTGAGGTGACAGTTTGGTTTCCATGTGTGTTTTGACAGAACATAAATAGGCCACCAGACGTCATGTTTGTCCTCTCACAAACTGTCTCACACTGAAAATAATTCGGAGGCAAATCCTGAAGGGAGAAGAGCGAGAGGAGCAGGAGCTGCAGCGAAGCAGGGAGCTATTATGAAAGCTTATAATAACCAATAACCGATATTATCGATTTGGATGGGAGAGAGCTGCTCACCTCTCGAGGTGCTGTCAATGTACCGTCCACATCAAACAGGCAGAGGATGTTTCGGTCGGACGAGAAGCTGTTTGATTTCTCCATTTCTTCTTCTCTTCGACTTTTCTTCTTTACAAATTGCACGTGTCACAGGTCCACACTCGCGCAAACAAACACGTAATAATACACATTCACGCGAAGGAGAAAATAATCAAAGTATCCAGCAGCCAGTTTAAATATCCAAATGAATAAAATAGACTTTAAGGTTTTGAAGATGGTAAATTAAATCTCCTCGAGCGCGCTGGCTTCTTATGCTTCTTTAGCTTCTTCTTCGTGTCTGCAGTCCTGCTATCACGGCTCGGCTCGGATCAGCCGTGTTGACCAAAACCGTCAAGCTTAACAAACAAGCTTGGACGTGTCTTGTTTCTTTTGCAACACTGTACGCTACACACCCGGCAGCCAATCACAGCCAGGGTGCCTTGACAAGTGGGCGGGGCGGTTTAGTCAAGGGCCAGCTGACCTTTTACCCACAAGAGAAGGAGTGAAGTGATGGATGCAGAACAGAAACAGACCAGGAAACAACAGAGGATAAGTCGCATAAACAGTTTTTTTCTGGAGTAGAGTAGTACCTTATTTATGAAGAAACACCACAGGGACTTAATACTAATGAATAAAAATCATGCATGAGAATAAGGGAAGTAAAAAGTTATTAATAAACAGATCTAAAGCATGGAGCAACATAAGAATTATTGCGACTGGTTTGATTAATTTGGGACTGTAATTGAGTAAATAAAAATAAAATAAAAAACAATATATATGTGTTATTATCTATTTTATTTACTCCAATATAGTCACAAATTAATCAAAATTATTATGTTGCTCCCTGCTTTAGATACAACTTTCAAAATTGTTAAGACCTTCATTCCAGTCTTTAAGAATTAAGAGTTACAGAGATTTTGTAATTTTCTTCTGCTGCTTCAATTAATAGATCCTGTGTGGCAGCCTGTCCCTATTATGTTTGAGATCTTAAGAAATAATGTGAAACACAAATCCTATCCCTGATTTTATGACATATTTTTAAGAGGTTTCATAACACATTCTAATTAGTAAACGTGTTTTGTTACATTTCAAAGAAAATGCTGTGCTATGCAACGGAGGTATGGTTGTTTTACAGTCATCAGATCTAGTTTTTATTGTTTCATTTTGAAAGTCAGTCAGTTAAGACATCTTCAGGCTCAGATTACATGTACCCTCGCCTGAATTTGTTTTCTATCTCTATACCTTCATCAGCTACTTTGCAACATTCTCAGTTTTGCAGCAGACAGACAGAACTTCTGATGTACAATGAGACTTCAACTGACACAATGCTTTTGGCTCCTGATACGAGCCCAAACACCCCCTGTTGCTGGAATAGTGTAACCATTTGCAGAGCCAGGGCTTTGTATGTACACCAGCTTTTTCTCAGCATACACACTCAGAATGGACAGCAGTCGGACTGTGTGGAGACATCTGCTGAATTAGATTAGGTTATGATTACATAATATGACATAACATTATGTAGAATTAGATTAGGTTTGACAAGAAGGTAAACGATATCAGATCCTCCTTCTCTCAGCCCCCCTGTCCACTCTCTCCCTGTCCACCCTCTCCCTCTCTACCATCTCCAGCTCTTCCCCCACAGCTCTCCCTCCCCTCTCCATGCCCCATCTTACCCTATCTTGCTCCCTAACGAGGTCCTCAACCTTGTTACCTCTAACCGCCCCACCACGTGCTCCCTTGACCCGATCCCCTCCCCTCTTCTTCAGTCTATTGCGACTGAACTCCTTCCTTTTCTCACCCACCTCATGAACACATCTCTTGATTCAGGATGCTTTATCACGGCTTTCAAGACTGCTAGAGTCACCCCCCTTCTGAGGAAACCATCACTTGACCCCTCTGATGTCAAGAACTTCAGACCGGTGTCTCTTCTACCCTTTCTTTCCAAAACACTTGAACGTGCTGTCTTTACTCAACTATCCTCCTATCTCCACCAAAACAACCTCTTGGACCCTCACCAGTCCGGGTTCAAAGTGGGTCACTCGACTGAGACAGCCCTCCTTGCTGTCTCAGGCGTCGCTTCACGCAGCGAGATCTAACTCTCTCTCCTCTGTACTGATTCTCCTGGACCTGTCTGCGGCGTTTGACACTGTTAACCACCAGATCCTCCTATCCACCCTCGAGGGGATGGGCGTTTCAGGCTCTGAACTCTCCCTGTTTGCATCCTACCTGACAGGTCGATCCTACCAGGTGTCATGGAGGGGCTCTGTGTCGGAACCACGCATGCTGACTACGGGGGTTTCACAAGGCTCAGTCCTGGGCCCCCTTCTCTTCTCGCTCTACACAACATCTCTGGGTTCTGTTATTCGCTCGCATGACTTCTCTTACCATTGTTATGCCGATGACACCCAGCCGGTCTTGTCATTTCCCCCCGTGGACACTCAAGTGGAGGCACGCATCGTTGCGTGCTTGGCTGACATCTCGAAGTGGATGACGACACACCACCTCAAGCTCAACCTGGACAAAACCGAGCTACTGTTCCTCCTGGGGAAGGGTTGCCTGCACCAAGACCTGTCCATCACCATTGATGATACCGTGGTGACGCCAACTCGGACTGCGAGAAACCTGGGTGTGATCCTGGATGACCAACTGTCGTTCTCAGCAAACATTGCATCGGTTACACGCTCCTGCAGATTCCTGCTCTACAACATCAGGAGGATTTGCCCCTTCCTCACTGATGAGACGGCGCAGGTGCTAATCCAGGCTCTTGTCATCTCCCGCCTGGACTACTGCAACTCACTACTAGCCGGAGCCCCGGCGTCGGCCATCAGACCTCTGGAGCTTGTCCAGAAAGCTGCAGCTCGCCTGGTGTTCAATCGCCCCAAGTTCTCCCACACAACTTGCCTTCTCCGTTCTCTACACTGGCTACCTGTAAGAGCTCATATCCAGTTTAAGACTCTGGTGCTAGCCTACAGGGCAGTGAAAGGAACAGCTCCTTCCTATCTCCAGGCCATGGTCAAGCCCTGCACCCCGGCCCGACCACCTCGCTCTGCTACCTAGGGGCGACTGGTTGCCCCGTCGCTCAGAGGTCCCTGCGGACGATCGACCCGGTCGCGGCTGTTTTCTGTCCTGGCCCCACAGTGGTGGAATGAACTCCCCACTGACGTCAGGACAGCAGAGTCGCTGCCCATCTTTCAGCGCAGGCTGAAAACTCACCTCTTCAAGAAGGCCTACCCTTCCGCTTAGCACTTACTTAGCATCTATTGTATTCATACTAACTTATTGCACTTATTGTTTTTGTATTAGTTTGTGGCACTTATTGCATTCGTTTGTTTCTGCACTGTACGTTGGCTCTGGTTTATGCTCTTAGATGCTTGTTTGAGGAAAGGACATGCACTTATTACTTCTGGTGACTAGTTCTCTCGAAAACCGATGTTGAATGCACTTATTGTAAGTCGCTTTGGATAAAAGCGTCTGCTAAATGACTGTAATGTAATGTAATGTAATGTTTGAATCAATTACATTACATTGTCAAAAAATATTTAGATTAGATTCAATTATTGAAGGTTAGATTAGATAGATTAAATTAAATTATGGTAGATTAGATTATATTAGTTTAGATTATATTATATTATATTATATTATATTATATTAGTTTAGTTTATATTATATTATATTATATTATATTATATTATATTCGATTATATTATATTAGTTTAGTTAGATTAGATTAGATTAGATTAGATTAGTTTATATTATATTAGATTATATTATATGATATTAGTTTAGTTTAGATTAGATTAGATTAGATTAGTTTAGATTATATTATATTATATTATATTATATTAGTTTAGTTTAGTTTAGATTATATTAGATTAGATTAGATTAGATTAGATTAGTTTAGATTAGATTAGATTAGATTGGATTAGTTTAGATTAGATTAGATTGGATTGGATTAGTTTAGATTAGATAAAATTGGATTGGATTGTATTACATTAGGTGTTTTTAGACTGCATTAGATGAGGTTAGATAGATTAGTTAGGAATATATAATGTGCATTTGATTTGATTACATTCAGTTAGGTTAGAATAGATAAAATAGATTATCATTTAATTATTATCCTTTCATAAACAACTCTGAGCGTTACAGACAGTTCAGAGTCTGACAGGTGCCAGCCATAAACCAACAGACAGTGAGGCACTGCGGGGCAGAGCTGGTGCCTTTTTGAAATGGCTCAAAAAACAGACTCACCCAAACAAATATTATGTGGCATTTTGTATTAAATGATACTTAATCTGTATTTATAAACAACTCTCTCAAATGAATCAATCAAGTTAACACCATGAGTGTGAGGAATGAGGAAAATGGTCATTATGAAATTCCAAGCAAATCTTATACATATACTGGTGGTGTCTTATGAATCCATGGGACGCTGGCAGCTTTTTGGTCCATGGAACCAACACATCCACAAGAGGGCAGAATGGCAGCGAGACAGAGATGGTACCACTCAAGAGTGGTAGTGTGCTCTCTGAAACACTCATTGAATTACTGTCTATCAAACAATTACCCCAATCCAGAACTCCCAGTTAAATACTGACATTTCTTACCATACAAATACACATGAAGCTCTTGGAAATAAGAAAGACTTTATTGCGTCGTCCTCAACATCATTATGTTGACAAAACTACACAAAACTAAAGAACTTAAGATTGAATTCTTTAATAACATATGATGAAACACTTTTGAAGGGTTCTTTCAAAGGGCAGTTTTGCAATAGGTGACAGGCCTAATGCTGGCACCATAAATCACTTGTATGTTTTATCTTTTCCACATTTCACAGCAATCATAAATCACCACTGCATGGACACGAGTTTCAGAATAAGTGATAGTGTCAGGACACAAACAAATTTGACCCATTTTTTGGTTTAGTACTTACGGTACATATACCTTATGTATCTTTGCATATAAGGTACCATTATATGTTTGTTTTCACCATGCTGACGGACCTTTTGGCATTTATGTCTGAGTTTCAGAGTTCCTTCAGTGTGGCCAAAGTCAAAATATTTGCTGTCAGTGACGTCAGTCAGTTATTTATGTGCCTGATTTATTAGTAAGATGCCGATTGATATGGTTGTATGAGGAAAGAGGCAGCAGAGGGCAATTATTGACTGATCATAAACAGACTAATCATTAGCCTCTGAAATAATGGACATACCTCTTTATCTGACTTCGACCTCGATCCCCATGTTTCCTAAGCAAACGGGGTCCAATAGCTTTAACCTTTATTCAAGGGTTAACTGGCTTTACAAAAAAGTGCTATTGTCAAAACATCCCATTAATCCTCGAGTGAATCTGTCTCTCAATTCTTAACTTCCTTAACCTCTCGCTTTTCCCAAGGCTCATTTGTTCCCACTGAAGATATCGATCTTTAAAGGGACAGTTAACCTCAAAGTCATAAATACACATTTTCCCTCTTACTTGTGGTGCTGTTTATCAATCTAGATTGTTTTGGTGTGAGTTGCCTAGTTTTGATGTCTGCCTTTTCTAGAAAGTAATGGTACTATGTGGCACTCAGCTTGAGGTGCTCAAAGTGCCAAATAATACATTTGAAAAACTCAACAACAATGTCTCTTTCCAGAAATCATGACCTGGGTACTCAAGATAATCCACAGACCTTGTTGTGAACAGTTTAATGTAGGAACTATATAATGTGACAAATAGCACTACAGGTAAGAGGACAAATATGTATGTAGAAAATGCTAGGTATTTTCCTGAAACAGCTGGGCATTGTAGTGTTTTAGCAAAAAGTAAGTCAAACAAGAATAATTAGTGTTCATTGTGGGGAGTATTTTTGGACACAGATTAATAGGCCTTAGTGCCCATCTTCATCAGCTCGCATCTTTCCTTGTGATTTTGTGTCTTTACAGGTTTCCAACTCAAATTAAACTTAAAGCCAGACATAAAGTTTTGGAGAAATGTGTGCACGTGGTCCCTCAGTCCAGATAGATGGACTAGATGGAAAAAGATGATCTGCTGTGACTACTCCTAATGGGTACAGCTGAAAGAAGAAGAGAAAAAGAAGAAGAAAAAGAAGACTATTTGCTTGTTCCAGATGTATCACATGTATGTACATTTTGGGGTCGAGGAGATGAGACACTCAGCAAGATAAAAAAAGATCAACAACATATGTTCTCTAAAGGTTAATTTGAAGTTATGCCTAACAAATGGCTTCTTATTACCTCAAGCCTCTTCTTTCATACATGTATGTGTGTGCATGTGTGAGTGTGGCCTTCACACTCTCACATCTGTTTGGGTGCTCTGTGTGTTGAGGTGAAGGCCTCCTTTAAAACAGCCCTCTTATCTACCTTCATGCAGAGGGGAAAGTGCTCAGTTGGACCCATTTTCTCAGACTAACAATAACAGCCACTGTTAACAGCGTTCAGTTGCTGTTAAACAGCCATGAAGAGACAATAAAACAAAGAGACTTGTTCCTCTTAACACGTTACCATTTCCTCTGACTGATAATAAGCCAGGGTGTGTTGAGATGGAAAGCCTCTTCACATGAAGCAGTAATGGGTCTAAATGGCCATGTGCCCCAAGCCAACCGCGCTATTACGACGTCATACGTGTGTGTTTGTTTGAGACATTTACGACCCGGTAAGGTGGTGGCCAGACAGGAAGCTGAGCGATGATGAATTGTACTGGAAAGACCTGAAGTTTTGTTTGGAAATGTTGAGTCCAAATGTGAATAAATGTTTGTTTTGTGTGGTAGAATCACACAGCGTAATAATGTAGTGGGTTTTGGTGTAAATTGCGAAATGTATTGAAAGCAATGAAACAGCACACTACATGATCTTCCAGCAGAGCTTTTGGAGAGATGAGAAAACAAGCTCATTCACTTACACAGTTGTAATGTAAATATGTTTTTTATCGAAAAGATAATTCTTTCAATTCCTCTTATCACCAGCGAAGCAAAGAACATAAAACAGTGTGAGAAAGACAATTCAATCATGGAGTGATAAAAGAGTCTGACACCAGCGAGATTTAGGACTGGCAATACGACTACAGTGTGTTTGTAGAAGATGTGTGACGAGGATGGACTGATAATGAGACAACAGATACTGAAAAAACTGTAAAAGATACAGCAAGTTATTGTCAAATAAACTACCATGGTATTAATTTGATGAAAACAATTAAGATTGTGTGCTGTAGTATAGGTTTGCGTAGTTGTGTGTCATAAAATCGGACGCCATGTGAGGCTGTACTTAGGCACAGCAGTGCCTCAACATACAACACATTCACAATGATGATGCTAACAAGCAGCTGTTAAGAAAGTATAATGTTTATCATGTCCACCATCTTAGTTTAGCATGTTGACATTTACTGAATAGCTCTAAACACCATGTACAGCTGAGGCTGATAGAAATGTCATTAGTTTCTCAAAATAACTGAAAAACATGACTGACTGGTGGTGCTAAAGTTTAAGGCACGGGATCATCAAAGTCATTAAGGTTGATCATCTGGGGCCCATGAGTGTCTGTAAAAAATAACATGGCAATCCATTCAGTATTTGTGGAAATATTTCAGAGCAAAGTGTTGGACTGAGAGACTGACCGTCAAACACGGCCCCCCATAGAGCCATGCTGTTGGCCTGGTTAAAATAAAAAAGCACAGGAATGTATAATTACTCAAAAAAGGCAAAGTTTGTTTCCTCAAACAGCGGGGCATTGAGGCTTTTCGCAAACATTTCTCAAACAGACAAAAATAGTGGTGCTGATTTGAAGAATTAAGTGTGTATTTTATGGCAGCAGGACGGTGTGTGAGGAAATGAGTCCAAATAAACTACAGTCCCCATGTTCATCGCTTTGTAAGGAACATTTCACCCAGTGCGTTGGTGTTACTCACTTAGTATTAATAGCTCTTGGATATTAATAAATTCTCTGGCCCAGATAGGAATAAGGTATATCCGTCTTTGGCTACAAAGACGAGGCTTGTTAGTCGGATACATTCATGGTTGGTTTGGGTCTATTCAGGAGATTTGTTGATAATATGAAAATATAGAAGATCATCTCACCCTTTTAGCGAACTGTTAATCAGAATATGATCACTGCTATGATAAACCCGGTGTGTTAATTGTGATCATCAGAGTAATGGCTTCATCATGTTGTAATGACATTACTGGCATGCATATGTAAACGTATTAATGATGTGTTTAAGTTAAGAGCACAGACTGTTTTAACTTGTATTAGCCTGTATTTTCACCAGCAGGTGCAGTTTTGAAGATACCAGAAATATTTTTGATGTATTTAACTGCAATTTTAGAGGCTCTCTTCTATCCAAACACATAAAAGTAAACGGTACTGCTGCTTTCCACAAAACGAGGTGACACTGGTTTATGAGCAGTTTGGCGAAGGCTTTTATAGGCTTAATCCACCCTGCTTTTATAGCAGACAATATTTATCAGCTCCACACAAGCCTTCCCTTTTATTGCCTTCTATGACCTTTGCCCCTGTCCCTATGCAAGCTTTCCGCCACCTCTGCTTCGAACAAAGAGTCTTCAGAACAAACAAGATTGTGTAAAACAAAGCAAAATATCATTTGAACTGATTCCGCTGTCTACATTTATGTTTTTTTTTTGGTCAAGAGTACAACTATTCTGCTATCAAATAAAGAGCCGGCAAAGACACTGGTGTTTTATTCTTTCACTTCTTACGGACAGATTAGTCACTACAAAAATGGAAATTTGTAAATCATTTTTGATGTTATTCAGGCAGGAGATGTAATGTGGAGGCAGGCCTTAACTTCATGTTTACAATCAGGATAATTTATGATCTTAATAAGTTTCTAAGTGAGATGTCAGTCCAGATGGAGTGTGGGAGTCTTTCCTGCCCTGCCCTCTGTCTGAATGGTGCACCGACTGTCACTTGACTGTTGTTCATTAACGTATGGAGGACAGGTAGACCAGATCGTACCAAGGTGGAGGATTATTGATCTCAAGCTTGCACTAGAGGAACAACTGCATGGCGTGAAACCCGCAATTGAATCTTTTGTATTTACTCAATTGGTTGTGTGCCAGATCCCAGACAGAAGTTTTTTTTTCTTCTTTTGTCTGGACGCTGGACAGTGAATCAAGAGACTGTGAGACTTCTGCTTCGTCACTGAAGAGTCCTGTTCACTCTTTTTTTTGGACTTAAATTGTCAAGTGACAGGATCTGTTTAAGGGGGCGAATGTAAAAACCTGCCTTCAGCTTTCTGTTTGCCAGGACTGGCTTTTGTGTTTTTTGACATGTAGAAACTTTGGAAAAAGACGAAAGATTCTGAGGGAAACAGGAAAATCTCACGGAGCAACATGTACAGCTCACACAGCTTGCCTTACCTGGGAGTGTTAATAGTGGCGGTGGTTGGTAACGAAATGCTGGAACACTGTTTGTCATCGAAGCGTACATACACCATGAATGTTGTGCTGCTGGAGGACAACACTTATGGGTGGAGTCGACCATTTGTGCAGGCGGCCGTGGAACAAGCCATTAAAAAGGACAAGGAGTTGAATGATAAAGAAGGTAAGGACTGAGAGTTCACAAATAAGACCTTATAGACAAATATAATCTCAAACAATCTAAAATAAAGAATTTAACGATCAATCCTTACTGTCCCAAGGAGCCAATGTTACTTCTTAAGGCAAGTGATAGATCTGTTTTAAAAAGCTGAAAGTGAAGTAATAGAAGCTCCTAGAAAACCATTAAAATTGAGAACGACTAAATCAAGATGGTTTATAAATTTATGAACTATTTCTCTGCATCCTGTTGAGTAAGAAGAGGTTTTACTGCACCACCATTGTGTAAATGATAAAAGGCCGTGAAATGATAATGCGGATGATAAAGAATTAAATTGTAATTAAAAACCTAAATTTGTCCATGATTTTGTTTAAATCGTTCATGGATTATGAGATCTCTTTTGGATTTAGCGGTTATTTCAGATTTTTTTTCTCCTTTGTTGGATGAAGCTTTTTACAGATAAATAACTTTTTTTTAATAGATTCACAAAATGATTCGTCTTTAGAATTAAATTTCACACTTAATCTATCTTAATTAAGATAAACCTGGTATTAATTAAGATGAATTAAGATTAATTCAATTTCACCCTTAATTTATCTTAATTTTTATTCATCACTTCAAAGACGTGCCGCCAGTGTTTCTCCAATATGGATATGAGTTTAGGGACTTTTGGGTTGGGTCTTGAAATATTTCAGTACTAATGCTGATTTTGGTACCAATACCAAACTCAGCAGCATAAACTCATAAGTAGCCATACAATAACTTTGCCTAAACAATAGACACTGCAGTTTTTGAGGCCAAGAAAGAACTTTGATGCTAAGCTAAATAAAATGTAAGTAAAAAAGACCTGACATGCAATGCAAGTCAGTACTTGACAGTATTTGATGTGAACACATTGTGTTTGGTTCCAAAAAGTATTGAGGTTTGGTTTGATACCCAACCCTTCAGGTGCATACTGTACAGGAAACCTCTGGTTATGTATGTATGTATGTGGTAGATGCATTCAGCAAAAAACATGTTTAATGCTTATTAAAAGAATCCAACACAGTCTCCTTGTTACATTCTATCTCCTGTATCTTGTGTGGAGATAGAAAACATCCAGATGTAACAAACTGACAATTAGCAGCTGGGCTTTCCTAACTGAAAAACACTTGGGAGATTCTTTGATATACTTATTGTCACTTTTGAAGCTGTTTATTTTCCGAATTTGGCAGAGGCTAGTTTCTATCTACTCTTAATTAATGTTTTTGCGCAGCTCCAGGCTAAAAATTGTCTGCGAAAAATCTCTCTCCTGAACACACAGAAACTGTTCAAACTTCTCATCTAATATGCCTGTACAGTAAAGACGCATTTAATTCAAAAGGTTTGGTTTGTTATTATACATATTATATTATACAGTATCCATGCTGCTGAAATAAGACCACGGTGTTGATCTCTTCAAATGAGTACTATTCACACTTCAAGAAAGCTAAATGCAGCGTAAACAGTGTTTCCTAACCACCTTAATACCAGGTCTACGTATCTTTAGACGGCTCGGGGGGTTCTGACCTACAGTTGGGAACCACTATAGCACAAACTTCTTTAAACTCATCTTTGGAAATCAAAGTGTTCTTTGTCAACCAAACATACATGTGACTTCACAGTTATTCATTTTAAAGAAATAGTTAAGATGACTTATTATCTACAGTAGTAACCAATGATGAGCATTACTCTTACTGCCATCACTTTGTCAGAAGCTCGTCATCTTATTATCAAATTGGTACACTTTGTAATATTCAGCATTGTTCTTGCCACTGCTGTAAATGTTAAGGCTGCATTTAAACCAGTGGGCGATAAGGTCAGTCTAATCTAATCTTACCAGCCCAAAGAGATGAATGAGCTAATTATTTTACTATTAATAACTCTTATCTTCTTTCCATGACCCAAGGTTTAGACTTCAAGTTGACGGCTAACTACAACGGCTTCAACACCACAGTGTACAACCGGCAGGGCTGTGGGAGCAGCACCTGTGAGGGAGTGGCAATACTCAAGATGCTGCATGTGAGTGTGGTCAAAAGATGTCAACAGATGAGATGCCTAAAGAGTGTTTAAAGTGTTTCTTTTAGTGCATACATTAAGGTCAAATCAATCAAGGGTAAACATGTTTTAGGTGAAGAGGCTCTGAGAGGCTTAGAGAAATAAGTGAGCTATTGTTAATAGTGATACGATTCAAGAGATTCAACTTTTCTGTGTGGTGTACAGCAAAAACGTTGTATGTTTACTTTTTTGTGGTTTGATAGTTTATCATCCCTAGATTACTCTTTAGCTGGCACAGTATGTCAATTGCTCCATGACAGGATGGTTATCCTGGCTCACTTAAATGTTGAATTATAAATGTGTCATTTCGTGAAACTATTTTCAGGACAGTTACGAAGGCTCAAATGTCAATCATCAAAAACTTCAACAGTAGAAGTCTTTTTGTTTTTTTGCTGTCGGTGCCTAACAGTCAATGATAAACCTCTTCTCTGAAGACTGACCATCTTGCACCAACAATATCAACATTACAGGGGTTGCCATCTGAGTTGCAGATAGATGCAAATATCTCCAATTTTAAGTGTGTTGACCTTATCTGAACCTTGGCAGTGGTAGTGCTGTGGTTTCCCACAATAAGTGACGCACTTACAATGTGATGACAGAATAAGTACTCACACTGTATCTTTTTCTGCAGAGTAAGAATGAGGTTGGTTGCGTCATGCTGGGGCCTTCCTGCACTTACGCCACCTTCCAGTTAGTGGAGTGAGTATGACTCTTTTCCTGTTTGATTATCTACCACCAAACAACTGACTGATTTCTGACTTTTTAACCCCCCGTTATCCGCCTCAGTGATGAAATTGGCCTGAACCTGAGCATTCCCATCATCTCTGCTGGGAGTTTCGGCCTCTCGTGTGACTATAAGCCCAAACTGACCAGAATTCTGCCTCCAGCACGCAAGATCTCAGACTTATTAGTCAACTTCATGATAAAGGTCTTACCATTTAAGATGAAATGGAAGCAGGTCTACGTCTACAAGAAGTCCAGCAACGTAACTGAGGACTGCTTCTGGTGAGACAACACTGACTGCAATTCACTTGATTGACCTCTGCAGCTTTGTTCAGCACTAAAGTGTCACTTTTTTGTTTTTCCTCCGTGCTTTTTCCACAGGTACATCAACGCATTGGAAGCAGCCTCTGCCAGCTTTGCCTCAAAGACAAGCAGAGTGATGTTGCGTGGGGAGGATGATCTGAAGAAGGCCCTCGACTCTAAGGAAAGACACAGCAACAGTGAGTATTTTGTCTGTTTGAGTTATGTCTCAACGCATCAAGCATGTCTCCTTCTTTCATTCCTTCAACAAAGCTTGAAATCAAAAGGATAATGTTGATCTGAAAAACATCATCTAATATCTACATCTATGGAGGAGTAAACTATCTAATCTGAACAGTCACAACATTAGTGTGCATGAGGTGAACCGGAAACCAGTCTAGGTCCAAATCTGGTACAGTCAGTGAGCTAAATTGTAGCCCAATTGTTACAGGGACAGTCAGTGGTATAGCGTCTGAAATGTAAATTCCTGTATATTAAATGTTCATCTATAACTTGTCAACTAAGTAGCCCGAACAAAAATTCAACAGGGTAAACGGGAGCAGATCGGAGAAGAAGGAAACTTCAGCTAAAGGCCTGTCTCTAATATACGCCTGATTCAAATAAAGCTGGCAACAATACTCTTTACAGTTGAGGCACTGGCCACTATAATGAGAATTCACGGTAGTTAAGTTATTTTTCAATGACAGTAAGAACTAGCGTTATGTTTTTCTTAGCTAGGTTAGCACAGCCTAACTGCAACTATGGAAACCTGTTAATTTGGGCTACATCATTATATCTATATATTACCCTCAGAGTCTCGGTAAAATAGCTACTCTGCTCTGTTTGCCTGCTTTTGTTGGGGCAGGGTGTGTGAGTGTGTGCATCAAAACAGGATGTAATGTTACAATTTACAAGTAACATTACTATAATGTTTTTTGCTCACAGGGGATTGGTCTGTTGGGGTGTTGATTGGTCCACAACCTTGGCCCAGAATAAAACATCTAATCATTAAAATGTAATAAATGGATTGCACCACATATCGTACAGATATTCATGGTTCTGAAAGGAACATGACTAACTTTGGTGATCCACTGACGTTTTCTCTAGCACCACCATGAGGTTGCTCATCACCAGCCCACTTTTTGTTGTGAAATACGCATGGAACCAGGTCGTTGTTGGTGTTTTTGATATACAGTACATATCTAACTCAAACACTGAAAGTCAATTTGTCCCAGACTTATGAAGTAATTGTACATAGTAGCATTGAAATAATGTAACCAGAGCTCAAAATAAGTTGTTTTAAACTGTTCTATTTCAGTCTTCATCTTATGTGGGAGCCCTGACGACGTTGTTTCAATAAAGGGGATGGTGGGCCGGATTGATGATGAGATCCTGTTCATTCTCCTTGATATTTACAAGTAAGCCTGTCTATGATTTCACCATTTTGCCCATACACTGTGACCATGAAGTTTAATGAGTCGTTTCACTGTAAAACAAGAAATCAGAATAAATCATAGAGATATGACACTTTGAATGTATAGAACTAAGACAGTGACACCGTTTTTCTTCCTCCAGCCCTGAGTATTATGTCAACACAACATCCAGTAAGGCTATGCAGGACATACTGGTGGTCACTCTGCCACTGAGGAACTACATCGATGGATCAAACTTAACGTACAACGACACGGTGAGCAACATCTTAAACAAGACTGTGTAGGGACATGGTTCTCGCATCCGGCTCTGACTGTTTTGTCTTTCTTTCTATCTAATGGGCAGATCAATGACTATGTGGCCGGGTATCATGATGGGGCTCTGCTGTTTGGTGAAGTGCTCAGACAGGAGATGATCAGCCAGCTACAAAACAGATCCAATGATGTGCCTGACAACCCTTTTGTTAACGCCTCCATTGACGGTGCGTATGATCAGTGACTACTCAAGGTTAGCAACAGAATGGAAGGAAGAATTTGTGTTCTCTAAAACTGCTTGTTTTGCCACAACAGGCTTAGATTGTTATAATAAATGTGTGACAAGAGAAATTAAAGGTTTTTCTTACATTTCGCTTTCTGTTCGTTATTTTGTCCATGTGACTTGTCTCTGGGAAGACAATGGTGGAAACATGAGAGAGTTGAAGAGAGGAGTGACACAGTGGGACACTGGTGTTGTCAGAGTTTGTTGTGTTGGAGTGTAGAAAGTCTGTGGGGTCAGAGCTGTCCGGTCATTTTCATAATATTGTCAGACAATAACAATATGAGCCTGTCAGTGGCAAAAACAAACATTTTTAGTGGAAGTACATTCATTGGTTAGGAGTTTGTCTAAGTGATAACATTGCAGCCCATTTAGCGTTTGCTGTCTGCAGCGTTCAATTTCAAAACGTTGTCCTGATTAGTCACTTAACAGAAAACAAAAGACAAACAGAAGACAAAAACATAGCCTCCGGCTTAAAAAATACCAAAGCTACCCTTTAATAAAGCAATATAACACAACCAAATTGACAAATTGTTATTCGTTGGACAACATTGCTTGTTTTGGAAGGCCACTCTGGTGTCCATGAAGGCACCATCTGAGTTTCCAAAATGCTTCTGGCTTGCAAGTGCAATACTGTAAAACCCTTTGCGATGCTTGTTGTTAGATGCCTGTTATTAGACATTTAATTGATTGGATTGGCAACTGTTTTAATAATCAAGTATGATTATTTTTCAAGCAAATGGGATGTGATGTGGTCCCAGCTCCTCAAATGTGAGGATTTGCTCCTTTTTTCCTTGTTTTACAATTTAGTAAAGTAAATATCTTGAAGGTATGGAATATCTGTCAGGTATAAAAAGCTATTTGAAAAGGTCACCTTGGACTCTTTTTAATAGACTAAACAATTAATCGATTAATCAAGAAAATGGCAGATTAATTGTGAATTAAATTAATTGTTGATAGCAGGCCTACTTGTAGTTTGTTCTGATTAAATTATTTTATTCATATGAGCTTTTTCATAATTTTCAAAAGCAAAGGCAAAGGCTACTCATTACGTTTTTGGACTCATTCCTCAATAGACATTTTGTAGCTGATTAAATAACATACAATCATACATTTAGATTATTCCATGTCTAGGAAATATAAAATGCTTTCTTCGTTGTGTGTGTATGTGAGCGCGTATTTATGTTTGTGTGCTTCAATCAGGTATGGGAGGACACTATGAGCTCGATGAGTATGGTGACAGAGACGATAACTTCTCTATAATTTTCACATCAACACTCACTGGCAAGGTGAGATTATTGTCCATTCAGCAGTTGGCACAGTCAATGTGAACATTTGTTTTTTATACTTTGCCTTGGTCTCTCTCCAGTACGAAACCCTGGTGGTGTTTGACACGTCGCAAAATGAAACCAGAGTGATAGACACAAACCCCGCGCTGCATTGGAATGGTCGCCTACCTTCTGACGTGACACAAAATCCAAATGGTAACACACACACACACACACACACACACACACACACACACACTGATGTTGTAGATGTAGTGTGGACAGTGATGTGGTGCTTCACTGTAGCCTGAAGATTGTTAACTCCATACAGCACAGTTTCTTTCTGGTCTGCAACTCTAATATCAGATCCCATTCATCTCAGGAACTCACAGCATGGTTTTTGTGTCTGTGCATGTTTAAGATTTCTCATGTAGGGTCCCTGCTGCAAGCCTGAGAAGCTTTAACACACAGAGCACACAAAACCACATTAAAATCTGAAGACACAATTTCGAAATATAGTGTTATTTAATTATTTTTATTCCTGTTTAAACTGTGTCTGTATGTGTGTGTGTTTGTGTGTGTGTGTGTGTGTGTGTGTGTGTGTGTGTGTGTGTGTGTGCATGTGTGTGTGTGTGTTTCCAGGCTTGGATATGCAGGACGTGATTGTGATCGTTCTGAGTCTCAGTGTTGTCGTGGTGACAGTCATCGCTCTTATCTTCTACAGGTAAACGGCTGCTGTATCACACTTGCTACACGTAGAACTTTAGCATCAGTAGACCTAAAGCTTCAAGGCATCAGTAAAGCTGCATTCAGAGACCAGGAAGATACAACAGTTCTGACAAGAGCGTATTTACTGTGTGTGTGTATGTGTGTGTGTGGATAATGTTAGGCAGAACAGGAAAGAGCGTCTTATGCAGAAGAAGTGGTCTCACATCAACCCGCATCTGATTGGTCCACTGGATGAGAAGGAGGTCTCACTGAAGGTAAACAGCCTCATCAATCAACTGTTTCCTATGTTCAATGCATGGGTGGGCAAGCTTTTCTATGATGAGTATCACTTTACAAAGATGACGTAAACGCACATGTCATTTAGTTAGTTACACTATTATTGGAAGTTTGACCTTGTTTGTGATTTAATGATACTGTTGTAGGCCTATTATTTGCATAGGGTCCCTTTGCTTAGTTGCTCATTCACACATAAACAAACATTCTGTGATGTAGGTCACTAATCAGTAAATTGTAAACCAGGCTGACTAGTTAATGCAATCCCTGTCCTTGCCTTTTGCTGCTCAGTGAAGCTTTGTCTGGTCTGTTGATACTCTCACCTGCGCACATGCCTCTGAATAGTCAGTTGTCAGTTGAATGCCAGACATGGGCTGTCATTGCTTTCCACACTTTCAGTCACAGCCACACTGAAGACCAGTGCATTTATCAGTGCAACAGCTTACATTTATTTACATGTGTACATTTTCAGTTCAGTTCTTGCGATCAGTCTTTAATCCTGGATATGACAGTGTGTTTATTCTGCAGTCAATCAAACAAAACCTTTTGAGAAAAAGGTTTTTGAGGAAAGCCTCATTTATGTATTCTCTGTCTGTGAGTGGTTGCCCATGTTTAGCAAAATGCCGAGCTGCCCTTTGTAGTCTGATTGTTGAAGGTACACACTGTTTTAAACTGTGTACTAATTTGCTTAGCACACTGCCCTCCTGATGGACTCAGCTTTATCGGTTTTGTTATGCTTAGTTTCAAAATTAGGCCTAACACCTGATATTTGACACACAACATTTGACAGTAAAATTCACATACGGCCCGGTCTCGTCTTGAAATGAACCCGTGTAAAACAGGCCTGCTATATTTGCTCACCATGTCTCATGCCTATTGGTGCAGCGCGGTGTCTTCTTTGTCAGATTGTTATTGGTTACTTCACCTGCGCTGTTGTACAGAAACTCAAAGACCACTCAGCAAGAACGGTCCGCTATTTTTGTAAAGCATACCTGACATAGCATCATGTCAACATTAATTCATCATGCTGGTTTATCTGTTTTATCACTAACCCGATTTAGCAGCTAATGTGATATTTAAAGGTGCAAAATACGGGATTCAGGGCATTAGTATAACTGCAAACAACTATTATCAATGTAAAGATATAGAGGAGTAATGTCTTCCTCAGCAGAGAATGAAGTCACTCTCCCTCTGTGTGTGGTGTAATCCGAGCTTCTCCTTGCTTTTAGTGGCGTAGCCGGGCCGACCGTGCATGCTTTAAGTGCATGTTAGTGCATGTGAGCCTACCACTGGTTAGCTCACGGCCGCTCCACTGCTCTCATATGGAAGTTACAGCTAATAATGCCGTCCTGACCATCAGTGTTGTCGCGGGAGCATAGCATCCACCCTGAGTGTTAAACTCAAGTACTTTATCAGTTTATTGACCTTGACCACATCTGTCATCCATCAGGCTTTGGAGGTTTACAGAGTTCAATACTTTCGTTTACATGATGTATACTCGGAATTTGATTAAATCATATCCAGCAAGATCAGGATATGATATCAGATGTGTGTGTGTGTGTGTGTGTGCATGTATGTAACAGATTGATGAAGATAAGAGGAAGGACAGCACATTCTTCAATCATCGAGGCCGCTATGACAAAAAGGTACTTACAAAAATCAACATTTTGTCGTAAAAAGAACAAACAGAAAGAGATGATCATGTATTATCACTCACCGTTTAAATGTGTCTTATTTCTTTGTAATCTTCAGCCAGTAATCTTGAAAGAGTTGAAACAGACAGACGGAGACTTCACAGAGGACCAGAGGATTGAGCTGAACACTGTAAGACACTACTGTATTATGCCTCTTTATTTATCTTTATATAAAACACTTTTGGTAAACCTACCTTTCTCCCCTCTTGTAACTCCACATTGAAAATCTTTCATGCTAAATTTACACAATTCTTTCCCAAAATACTTTTCAATGGAGATAGATCATGAGTTCTGTCAGTTTAGGATGTTCCCAGCCATGACATTTATTTCTAGCTTTGTTCGTACACAAAGACATGAATATTCCTGCTAATCGATTAGATATTGTGCTTTGTCATTGTGATAAGATTAAAAGATTGTGAATGAATGAGCATTTTCCTCTCTAACATTATATAAATGACGCGTAGATAACATGCATTTGTCATTTCTGATGTCATAGCAGTAAAAGTGTGTTGCCCAATCCATTTTTTTTAACCCTTTCTGTCCAACTTCCCTGTCCCTCCCTGTCACTGCTCCCATGTTTCAGCTGCTGCGTATAGATTACTACAACCTGACAAAGTTCTACGGCACGGTGAAGTTTGAGTACGGTGTGTTTGGGGTGTTTGAGCTCTGTCAGAGGGGCTCCCTCAGGGTAAGAGCTTCACTCACACAGTGCCATTGTCTGACTCTTTCCCTTCAATATCAGATGTTTTTTAATGCAGATCCACAAATTTGATCAACATTGCGAGAGAGAGATAGGACCTTTTTGAACTTTTTCACTATTTTATCATGAACTGCTATGCTTACTTAAACTAAATACCTGTATCATACATTCCAAGATAGTCTTAACATAGTGTGTATTTCAATGCAGATCTGGATCCACAAGAACTTTGTCATTTATAGTTAAAAAAATCATTTTGACTGACTGAAATGCATCTAAAGACACCTTGCTTTTTGTCATAGTAACTGTTATTTTGTTCCCCATGGCTATTGCTTTTATCTCCTCCCTCTTATCTCCCACAGTATTTTAATCAACATCTGCTTGTTTGACCTTTTAAATACATTTTAAAGCTTTTTTAAACCTCCAATTCGAATTGAATCCTGCAGCAGTGCGTTCAACTGAATTGTATACTCTGGTGCAATGATGATCTGACTTTAACTCATATTACATGACTACAGTACGGAAAAACTTGCTTATGACACAGATCAGTGGCCTCCCGTTTTCACTGCTCACAATGACTTTACTGTTCATTTGATAAGTCGCAGTCACAGAGTTTAAAGAGCACTAATAATGTGTGTATGAATGCACGTAGTCACACACACACACACACACACACATACACACACACACACACACACACACACACACACACACACACACACACA